TTTCTCTGAACTGGCCTCAACGGGCTTCCGTAGATTTGCGATAAGGAGAATAACGAAAAAACATTAACCCGAGAGAGTCGGGAGGACTATAGTTTTACCGCTTCATAAACACGGTGTGTCATATCCTCGAATCTGTACCTAAATTAAAGATCTTTTCAGTCAAGACCGATAGTAACCATATAAAGTTGTGTTCGCTTCAATGTCGACAATAATCTTAGATCATGTACAGATCATGTATATGCCGGCAAAAAGGAATGTGTTTAAAAAATTCTACTCTCTCTCTCTCTCTCTCTCTCTCTCTCTCTCTCTCTCTCTCTCTACCCAAACTCCGTCACCATAAGCGGAAAACAGGCCAGGTTACTGATGAATTATTTTTTGATTTGTTTCTTGTTTGCTACGTACATTTAGTAACAAAACTACTATAAATAGAACGCGTATCATTACATTACGCCCAATGAACCCGAACTCCGTCCCCAGGGCCCTCTACAATATAACGCCACGCTCAGATCCAGGAATTTTTTTTTAAGGGGGGGGGGGTGGTGTCCATCCCAATCCAATTAGTCTTACCCAAAAATTTCTTGACTTGCAAAAAAAAGGAGGGGGTTTCCAAAGTAATTTTTTATTTGCTTCATTATATACTTTTTATAACTCTGCAAATACCCCCCCCCCTCCCCCACCCCTCTAGATCCGCGCATGACGCTACGTTATCTTAAACGTGTAGCGTATTCGAGCACTGAGACGAAAAGTAAAATATTTAAGGAATGAATTTAATAGGTACCCAATTTATACGGTATAAAGTGGGTTGGGGCAGTTTACGCTTTATAAACCGCGAAGCGGTTTATAAAAAAAGCGTACACTGTTCCAACTATGAGGCACCGTTTTGGAATTTATTGCCATTTAGTGATATCACCTATTCGAATAAGTGATATCACTCATTCAAAATGAATAGGTGATATCGTGATAGAATACATGTAGGTGATATCACTTATTAAAATAGGTGATATTACTTATTCGAATAGGTGATATCACCTATTGGAAATGAATAGGTGATACCACCTATTCGAATATGTGATATCACCTATTTGTATTTCTTACAACAATAAATAATGAATGCTCGATCCTTGCTAAAGACTATCTAGATCAATCTCCTATGCAGAGTTATCGTTCGTTCCTCTCTCAGACACCTCTGCAATGGGCTCGCGTCAGGATTTTTGACATAACGTAAAAAACATAACATTTCAAGGATTATTTCAAATTTAACCAATAGTTTTGATCTATTTAGTAAATATCTATCTTTAAGGAGTATCATTAGCCCAGACATTAATACAAATACAAATATACAAATATTTTATTGGCACAAACACAATTACAGTAATTGGTAAAGGCCCATACAGAACATATTAATAAGCATAATAATACAGTAGAACACAACTAGAATACAGACAATCGGTGTAGCAAATAATGTAGTGTACTCATCCGATACTAAATAATTCATAACAATGTAGTTAAAATGAAATTAAAAAAATGCACTATTTCTTGTGCTCATCACTGTGATATACGTGAGCCAACGACAGAGGTGAATGTATGAGCCGATGGTAGAGAGTGTATCTAGATTTCCATTGGAACCAAGCAAATTCGGGCTGCCCCGTTTTCCCCTGTAATTGAGACATTTTAAATACCTTATGTTATCGACCCCTGTAAAGTTATATTTTTATAAATCATACCAAGCTGGGGTACAACAGAGTGGCATACCTTTCTCTCTTTATTATGTAAAGTGTGGCATTTCCCGTATGGAACAGTTAATACTTATTCGTTTTTCACAATTTTTCCTATAGTATACACGATAGATAAGTGTATAAATATAAATTGTGAGCAAAATAAACTATAAATTCTTCTGGGGTGCTTAAAACTAAATGCGAAGCTGTAATCCATTGTCTCCAAGAATGGTAAGTTATAAAAATGAAAGTGAAAGTAAATGCGAATTAAAGGCTATAGTCTTGGGAGCAGCTGTTATTTCATAAATAATTTGAATAGGTGATAAACGGTATAAAATGGGTTGGATATGAGGCACCGTTTCGGTATTTACTGCCAAAAAGTGAGATCACATATTCGAATAGGTGATATCACCTATTCAATTGGTGATATCACCTATTCGAATAAGTGATATCACCTATTTGATTTGAATTGGTGATATCACCTATTCAAAATGATTAAGTGATATCACCTATTCGAATAGGTGATATCACCTATTTGAATTGGTGATATCACCTATTTAATTTAAATATGTGATATCACCAATTCGAATAAGTGATATCACCTATTCAAAAGGAATAAGTGATATCACCCATTTTGAATGGGTAATATCACCTATTCGAATAAGTAATATCACCTATTCGAATAGGTAATATCACCAATTCAAATCAAATAGGTGATATCACTTATTGGAATAGGTGATGTCACCAATTGAATAGGTGATATCACCCATTCGAATAGGTGATATCACTTTTTGGTAGTAAATACCGAAACGGCGCCTCATATCCAACCCACTTTATACCGTATAAATTGGGTAGCTATTAACTTCATTCCTTATAATTTAATTTTCATTCATTTAGTGTAAGAAAAAGATGATTGCTCATAAAAAATGTCTTCAAATTGTACAAAGTTCAAATGCAACATCAGGCGAATCGATACGTTTTTGACGCCAGTCATTGTGACGTATAGGCAACCCATTTTATACATACAAGCTTAATCTTTTAAAAAGATAGGTGAGCTAGCGCTGTAGCTATCATAAACCACAGAATTAGATATCTGAATTATTGGATTAATTTGCTGAATCGATTAAGGGGACTACCATTTGATTCTGAGGAGGGGAGTTGGATGGGGGGTCTAGCAAAATATTTCGAGTACTTATTTCCATGCCAGTCAAGGACAGATTATTTATTTTCAAGATGATCAAGGACAGATTACTAGTATTCATTTTCTTCTTCACTGAAAAAGTTTGACAAAAACAAAAAAACAAAAAGTTCAAAGAGGGAATGGGGGGGGGGGGGTTAAGTAGCAATTGTCAATGACAGATTATTTATTTTCTTGCCGGTCGTGGAAAGAAAGTTATTTATTGTCAACTTTTTTGAGGACAGATTATTTATTTCCAAAATCTGCCAGCCCCCCCCCCCCCTTCAGAATCAAATGGTCGTCCCTAATTATTAATAGGAAGACACAGTGGTTCACTGGAGGTAGTGTTGGGGGATGTGTCTTAATTCAGAATGGTGAAGGTTTCAGCTATTCAGTGTTTAATACAAAATTTTCATCAGACTATTTATAAAAAAGGCTATTGTTGGATTAAATTCGGGATACCCAGAGTCAAAAAACGTTACAATAATGAACTTCAAAGCTTTGTTTTGAGTGGGTTTTCACATTTTCACATGAATCATTAACTGTGCTTTAAGCATTCTGTAGTTTACTGTAATTTCAATTTTAAAGTGAAAAATAAGAGATAAGTAGAACCAATAAACACCTAGTTTAAAAATATTCCAGTGTGGTACTGTTTTGTAGCAATCGCATCCTTTCGGCCTTTCCTGCAAGCTCGGAAAACATATCCGAGATTGTTATTCCGAGCTTGCCGGAAAGATCCAGGAAGATAGTTAAAAATAGCTAGTTTTTTTAAAATTATAATTTTAGAAACTATAACTGATCTGTACAGTTTTGGCATTTACTGTTACCCTTTGTACATTTATTTAAGATTAGACAACAAAACGCGAAACTTCAGATCATATGTATTTTCAGATTAAAAAACGAAATTGAAATGGTGCAGTTTATCTACAGTAGTATTCCCATAATGGCCTACCATGAAGTCGAGCATACGTATTCCAGTAAAAAAGACTAACGTAGTTGCTAGCGCTCGAGAGCGCTAGCAATAACAATCGGATCATAATTACTCGGGCTTTTCCGTCAAAAAAGGAAAAATGAAAAATTAAAGAATTATAATTATATCAGTGCTACTGCTTTGTATCAATCGCTTCTCGTGTCTTTCCGACAAACTCTGAAAGATTTCCTGTTTTTTTTTTTCTCTGAGCTTGCCGGAATTATATAGGAAGGTAGTATACATGGTTAGCTTTAAGGAAGGCTAGGTTTTACCAGTTGATCTCTACAATCTTGGCATTTTATGACCCAAATTTTCTTGTACTTTTAATCATAGGTTAGACAATAAATTAAGAAATTCAGAATTCAGATCATATCAATTTTTTATGATAAAACGAAATTATCATCGTACAGTCTATCTTCAGTAGTTTTCCCAGAATGCCCGACCGTAAAGTCGAGCATGCGTATTCCAGAAATATAGACTAACGTAGTTGCTAGCGCTCGAGAGCGCTAGCAATAAAGCAAATTTTTTATCCAATCAAATGGCGTGTTACAATCAAGAATAAGTAAAATATTCCACCGTATTCAATACATATGGCATGCCATAATAATTCTTTGGCAAAGACCTTCATAAATATGACTGACATGTAAAAATGAGCATATCGACGCACATGTCGAGGTATCAATGGAATAGCGCATAAAAGAAAAAGTACTTACCTATTTCACATAAAATATGATACATAAAATAGATCACGTGTAATTGTCTGACGCATTCTTGAACTTGATTGTAAAAATTTCTCGGCATTTGTTCAGCATGTAAAAATGACGTCACAATCGCATTCGTTTACAAACATCGCTGAGTTTCCCGAAAGTGACGGAGTTCGGGGGTTTGGCTAGTGAAAGTTTGATTTTAATCGGAATTATTGCGATCTACATTCACGTTGAACAAGATTCTTGGAAAAGATTTTTAAACGGTAAACAAAGTGGTTGCTTTAAATTATTTCAATTATTATATAATTAGTGCTCATACAATTTCAATTTTCAATTTGTTTATTTGCCAATTAAGGGCCCTCATGAGGCAAAAAGAAAGTACATTGTGAACACTTATATATAGTCATATACATGTAACACAATATACATACACACAAGAGAGAAAGAGTTGCATGATCTTCTCTTCTTCCAATAAAGTACTGATCAGAACTTCTGATATTTCGTACTGGCGCATGGTGGTGCGAGGAAAACAAGGTGATTTAAAAATAAGATAAACTATTTACAGTGCAGGTAAAATAGAGGTCGAGGCTATCTGGTACCGCTTGCAGGGTGGCTAGCAGGAGTTATCTCTCCATAAGTGCGTACGAGTTATCTCGCATTACAACGGTGATAACCATGAATTTATACCCTTATTAAAAAGTTCCACATCAATCGTTCTCTAGAAAGTTAATGTTTATTTAATATGTAAAACGTGATAATTAAGAAAAAGAAAGGGAGATAGACAATTAAAGTCCTCTAATTGTTGATTTGGGAGCATATAGTGCATTCGAACTTGGGGGTGGAGGGCGGGGGGGGGGGAGGGGTATCGTCACAATTTTATAAACATTGGCAACATCATTCTATCAAATATTATATCATTTTCACTTGAAAAGAAAGATGTCTTACGGAGCTCTCTCTCTCCCCCTCTCCCCAATGTATGATTATGTTTATTTTTTAAATTATTTAATTATTTATATATATTTATATTATTTTATGTACATATTTATTTTTATTTATTTATTTATTTTTGTAAATACACACCTTTTATTTATCACTCGAGACTGCGATGTTTTCAGTTACCTTTTGTTATTATTCTTTTCTTTTGACAAATGTTCACTCGCTTTGTCATTTTCGCAGACATCGCACGATAACTGAACGTCTTTCTTCTTGAAATTGAAACTCATAAATCATGTAAATTAAAGAACAAAAAATTAGAGAATTTTGAATCCCCCTCCATGTATCAGCAAATGCCGGTATGCAAAGACTCTACATAGACCTTTTATTATATACTTATTTACAATTTAATCAAGGGTCGAAAGGAAGTGTTTTTGTTTTTGAATGTCTCCAAGTTATTAACAGTTCTCTCTGTCTCTCTCTGTGTCTATATCTCTCCATCTCTCTCTCTCTCTCTGACGGTAGTGAACCCCTGCCTCAATCTGTGCTTGCTGTGTTCTACATTTAATCTAATTTTCAGACACTCTTTGTTAGCTTTCTAGTCATCATATTCTAATCGCCTAAGTTTTGTTAAGATTGTCAAGTCTTAGCACGCTTTTAGTTACGGTATTAAGTTAAACACTGTACATTAAGCATGGTGTTAGACTTAAGTACCCTTTATGTTACGACCCCCAGAAAATGAAACTGGCCACCTCTAACAGGTACTACATTACGTAGCTTGTACCTGTAGCATGTACAGATATCAAGTTATGATACTTCCTACCTCTAACAGTATGAGTGTTCAAAGCTACCTACCTCGAACAGGTACCAGATTTCAAAGCTACCTACCTCTAACAGGTACCAGATTACAGGACAACCTATCTCTAACAGGTACCAGATTACAGGACAACCTATCTCTAACAGGTACCAGATTACAGGACAGCCTACTTCTAACAGGTACCAGATTACAGGACAACCTATCTCTAACAGGTACCAGATTACAGGACAACCTACCTCTAAGAGGTACCAGATTACAGGACAACCTATCTCTAACAGGTACCAGATTACAGGACAACCTACCTCTTACAGGTACTAGATTACAGGACAACCTATCTCTTACAAGTACCAGATTGCAAAACTATCTTTTATTACTACTGCCACTAATCTCTATTATGTACCAGATAATGAATCTACCTCTAATATTAGATTATGAAGCTACTTACTTGTAAGAGGTATCATATAATGAAGCTCTTTAACAGGTAGCAGATTATGAAGCTACCTACCTGTAAGAGGTACCATATTATGAAGATCATTACTTTTAACAGGTAGCAGATTATGAAGCTACCTACCTGTAAGAGGTACCATATTATGAAGATCATTACCTTTAACAGGTAGCAGATTATGAAGCTACCTACCTGTAAGAGGTACCATATTATGAAGCTCATTACCTTTAACAGGTAGCAGATTATGAAGCTACCTACCTGTAAGAGTGTTTTGTAGTTTTTTTTATGTAATTGTCGTGTAAATCACACAAGAATATCTGTCAAAGCCTATTTTATGCAGTGCGATTGTCAAGGTACATTTGTCGTCCACTTCATATTGTCGCCGGCGACACAAACTACTTGTACTAATGTGACGAGTGCAAATAACATGATATTATATAAATTCATCAAAAAAGACCAGGAATCTCTTTCTCTCTCCCCGAAACTTCAATCAAATACCGCTTTCAGTCAAAAAAGAATTTTCATCACTTTCGCCTCACTGATGTATAAAAAGTGTCGACTCCAAACACCAATAACTTCAGAACATCTATATAAGAATAACGCAAAAAATAATTTCCGGATAAACATTACTAATGAACTTCAATTTCCAAGTATATATAACAAGAAAAAACAGAATAGGCTGTTTATCAGATATCAAATATCTCAAGAATTACGGTATCTTGACATATAGTGATGTACATAATGTACATCAATCCTGGACACAATTTTTCTGAACAAAACATTTTCTCCCTACTGTATTGCAGGTTATGAAAATTGTTAACTTTTTTAACTTGCGTACATTTAGTCTATCCTTCTGTCTGTGTGTGTTTGTTAATCTCTCTCTCTCTCTCTCTCTCTCTAAAACCTAAGTAAATATTGCTCAACACAATATATCGGCCACAAAATGTGCAAATGTTCACAACTAGTACATATTGTCGCCGACAACAAAATGTGCCGATGCTCGACTGTACATTTTGTCGTCTATTATGCAGGATGAAAAAAGGCTCGGTAAATATTGTCGCATCAATATGTACCGATGGTCGATAACACGTCAAGTGAGTGTAGGTACATATTGTCGCTGACGACAATATGTACAGAATGACAATATGTGCCGTCACCAGGCACGTAGCAACAGGAAGGGACAGAGGGGGCCTGGTCCCCCACTTTTTTCCCAGCATAACTATTGAAATTTTTATAAAAAGGCTGGTTGCCCCCTGCCCTTTTTGTTGTAGTAAAGTCAATTAAGGGTAATGTAGTATTGGTATGAATAAAAATTGGTACTGAAAGAACCTTAACCCCCCCCCCCCTAGGATTTTCGAGTTTTGTCAATTTAAATTCCCCCTTTTTTTTTTGCTTATCAAGCTTTTTCAGATAAGTTTTTTTTCTTTGGCTGCCCCCCCCCCCTTTTAAAAACGATGCTACGTCCCTGACCATCACAGTCCTGTCTAGCAATATAAAGCTTGACCCAGTGGCCAAGAATTTCACAAATCTTCACAAAACACCGTTACTCATCACAACTTTGTACTTTGTTTGACCCTAGATGCACAGGAGCAGAGAAGGAGATTTACTATAGGTTCACTATACATGTATAATCAATAGAGTCACTTTAAATAATCAACTGAACCAGCAAATAATCAATAGAGCCTAACCCTAATACCGGAAACCCTGATCCAGAGGCCATATATTTCACAATTTAGGAAGAGGTACCCTTGCTTAGCATAACTAAGCACTTAGTATGTTTTATATAGACCCAAGAGTAGACAGAACCCCTGATCCTAGGGACGTGATTTTCACAGTTTTACTAGAGATCTCAAGGCCGTAACTACATGACCATTTAGGCCAGTGAGCCAAATGCCTCACTAAGACTTTAGAGTATTCTGAGAAGTGAATAAGCTTACTTTGAACTGTAATAATGTTTGTCTTTGCACTAAATTAATACTTTCAATTTTTGTTTCAATTCCTGTACATCAGGTGCTTCATTACAGTTTAAGAGGAATGTAACAAAAAGAATTCAATGCATCTGAAAACTTTCGAAGATTAAAGTATTTAATTTGCTAAAATCCTGGTTTGGAGCCCCCCTCCCGGTCAGGACACTACCCTGGACCTGCTTAGGAATCGGGTGTCCCCCCTACCCGAACCATTACCTCACTAAAATTTGAGCCTAGTTACGGCCTTGATCTTATTGCTTGATATAATCATACCAACAGTTTGACTGTTTGATGTTCAAGAGTAAGATTTTAAAGATTGTATTCCTTTTTATTGTTTTGACCCCACCTCTTAGGCCCCAGGGAGAACAAACCATGAATTATTAAAGTTTTGTTTTCTTTGCCCTAGATGTTCTATGCTAAAATTGCAATTCATTCAGCCATTCATGAGAAGAAGCAGCATGAGAATGTTTAAATTTTTGACCGATGCAAGACAGAAGGTAACGGACATAAAACAAATGATGACTCAGGGGACCAATAAACTAATAAAATCTTTAATTTACAAAGTAATGGATTGTTGGCATATAAATAAGATATAAGTCCTTCTTGCTATTCTTCCAATTACGCTTTTTTGTACAAATTTTCTGTATATTCCCATGAAAATGTTATTCCCCTCTCTTCCTCCCATCCTACACAAAGGGGTGATGATAAATGCGCAATAATGCCGATTATGTTACTCCTGTTGATTCTGAGAATATTGAAGATTTTTCAGTTTTATTCTCGTGTAAAAGGACAGGTTTCCATAAGGCTATTTTTTGGCCTATAATGAATTTCAAATTAATTTGATTAGTGTCTAGTAATGTTTCCTCTGTTATATTTCATAATTTATTTGCAAAACCAACGTCCTAGGGATGACCATTCAGAAAATCTCCCCTGGCATCTGAGGTGCTCCTCCAGTCGCAGATCACAAAAGTCTTTGCAACACTCAAGATACGCGTTGGATTGCACAATTATCTTCAATATCCAGGTGTAAAATGTACAGAAAATATTTCTTTCTTGCGAATTCTAATTCACCACCAGGGAGAGATAAACAGCTTATGGTAGGGGCTTTCAGCAATTCTTTTTTTTCAAAAATACAACTGACTCAAGCATAGATAAGACCACTGGTCATATGAGCAATAGCTTTTAGACTGATCGAGGTAAAAACTACGTCATAAACAACATCTTGTTTACAAAATTCAAATTCACATTAAGTTGAAAAGAGCCGGCTACTGATTGCATTTGGTTTTCGTTACAGAAAAAAGACGTACGTCTAAATCTGTGATGCACGTACCCGAATCATGAAACTGAGCTGGATTTTCATTAAA